ATAAATTACAGTACGCCAAAGTTTCATACTGTGTAGCATTTGGTTCGATAAATAACTGAATTACCAAAATTTTATTAAACATACTTAATTTTTTTTTTTTTTTAGTTATATATATATATATATATATATATATATATATATATATATATATATATATATATAAACTGAGTAATTGGAGTTTTACGAATTTTCGTTCAGTTCGATTACCGAGGTAAATTTAATATCTAGAAAAAGGGGGAATATACCAAAATCTGGTGATTATCGCCGCCATGCCAATATTCCTCGAGATGGATCCTTATCTCTTCATCCATTTTGGCAACGGACTGTTTCAGCACATCAGGTTTGAGAAATAACAACATTGCCCCTCTCACGCGCTTGTGATCCTCGCCGCTCAATTCCAGAATATTCCTCTCCCCCAGCATCTTCCTCACCGACGCCGGCTTCTTATTCGACAGAACCCTTTCGTCGCACGTGTAAACGAATTTGTTCGCTTCCGGCCCGCAGATCAGCACGCTCGGGGTTCCGAACACGTTCATCTTCGAAACGGCGCCGTATTTCCCGATCCGATCTCTGATCCAATCTTCGGCTCTGTTGTCTCTCATCGCTCGGAATAGCTGGAGGCTCTGTCCGATTACCGGCGGCCCTAATGAACCAGGTGGTAGCCGCCGCCTTCGAGAATTGTTCCCCCCTCTGGTTATTAGCAGCAGTAATGCAATTGCTGGAGCAATTAGTGCGATAATCGCGAGGTAATTATCGTATAATTCCATTTGCTAATTTTTTTTTTTTTTTTTTTATTTTTTTTTTTTTTTATAAATTTGATGATATGAATTTCTAGAGAAATTAGTGTACTTTTATAATGGTGGTTTTGGTTGAATTTGTGTATGAATTAAACATCTGCAGACTGCCCTGAAGGGCAAACTACAACATTTAATTCCAGTTTGGTTATGGTGTTTGTAATGCATTTTCTAGAAGAATCTCTCCTAGTGAAACTAGGTTCTTGGAAAATTTGGTTTTTAGGTTTTAATTACCCCAAATTAGTAGTCTCTAGATCTTAAATTTCAAGAGTAATAAGTTGTTTGCCCCCTAGACTGGTTTCAAAATGGTGGATTTGAGTGTGGAAATGGCAGATAAGCCCTTCTTTTCTTTTCTTCGTTTTTTTTTATGAAGGTAAGTGAATAGACGTTTTTGCGCCTGTAAAACTCACGTGAGAAGTACGTGTGTAAGATTCCGGTCTAAATGGCCTGGAAATCCGATTTTTGAGGCACCGTGCAAAAAAAAAAAAAAAATTTAGAGTTCAGGTAAGAACGTGCAAAAAAAATTTTGTTTAGGGGGCAAAGTGCAAAACGAGCATTAGTTTAGGGGGGGCAAACTGTTTTTTACTCTATTTTTAATTGCTATTGGTCAACTACAGAAATGCATTCTCTGTTCGCAATTATCTTCATTTTACACGGTTTCTTGATGATCTAGATTGGTATCAACGGTTCTCCTTGGAGATGCAGATATATAGGTAGCTTTTTTAATGCTACTGGACTTAGGAGATATGAAATCAAGTAAGATCCCGATTTTATTTATGATTCTTCATTTATTTAAATTTCCCAGTCGTGCGTGTCGTACACGACAGAGTTTACATTATTACATCATCATTATCATCATGAAGAGGCTTCTTGATCTTGACTTGTATAGGCAACCCTTGATGGAAAAATGGCAAAGGAGCTCTACCGAATAGATTCTCTTCTAAAGAGAGCTTCCACTGAAATCGAGTAACCAAGTAATGAACCATGGTTAGGGTTTCGATTCTCGCAAATTCGTATCCCGGGCACATTCTCGGCCCTCCACCGAACGCCATGAAGCTATAAGGCGGCGCTGCTCCTTGGTTGTCGAACCGGGCCGGGTTGAAAGTTGATGGATCCGGATATATGGATTCGTCCATGTGAGTCATGAATGCTGTCCAAAAAACCTGTTTCGAGAAAAGCAAGATCTTTATATATACGAATCTTGTTTGTTTAATTTATTTATTAGCGAATAAATTTTGAATAAAATTCAATCACCTGCCATCCCTTGGGAATTGTGTATCCTCCTAGTTCGAAATCCTGAACAACTCTTCTAAAAGAACAAAATATCGGTGGATTCATTCGCAGTGTCTCGGTTGCTACCTTCCATGTGTACTTCATCTTCGCTAGATCTTCCCACGTGAGAGGCTCGTCAAGAGATCCCTTCCTATTTGCAATCTCCTCTTGTTCTACACACCAAATAAATAAATTATAAAAAAAAAAAGACAATTTTGCCCATTGCAAGATCGATTTTTCGGGATGACCTACCATTAAGGACAGTTTGGTAAACATGTGGATGTTCAGAAAGGAGTTTGATCAAGAAAGTAAGGAGGACCGAAGTCGTGTCATGCCCTGCAATCATTGCGATGGTACAATTGTCCACAATCTCGTCGTCAGACAGCAGAGGCGACGGATTCGCCACGTCATCATCGGTCATGCTTAGAAATCTAGTGATGAGATCTTGGTGATTGTCTAGGGTTTCTTGTTTCTCCATCTGTTGCCTCTTTACTCGTAAAAGTTCCAAGAAGAGGTTTCCGATCTCCGAACCTCGACGAAGGCTTCTATTGAACC